AAATTCTCTTTCTGCTGCTTCATTATCAGTATATATCAATGCAAGAGATTTCTCTACATTAATTTTGTATTCTGCAACTTTACTGAATTCATTTATCAGTTCTAATAGTTTTTTGGTGGAGTCTTTAGAAACCCTAAAGACTATATACAGTATCATGTGATCTGCAAATTATTTCTTCCTTACCAACTTGGATGCCTTTTGTTACTTTTTGTTGTCTGATTGCTGTGGCTAGGACTTCAGTATTATGTTGAATAAAAGTGGTGAGAGTGGACATCCTTGTCTCCTTCCTGACCTTAGAGAAAAAACTCAGTTTTTTCCCCATTGAGTATGTTGTTAACTGTGGGTCTTTCATATAAGACCTTTATTATGTTGAGGCATGTTCCTCTAAACCCACTTCGTGGAGAGTTTGTTTATTTGTTTTTTTGTTTTTTTATCATGAATGGATGTTGTACTTTGTCAAATGCTTTTTCTGCATCCATTGAAATGATCTCACTCTTTTTAGTGTTTACAGAGGTAGATTTGGATGAGATAAGGGGAAGGAGACAATCAAGGGAAGCGAAACAGCCTGAGTAAAGACAGTATATTCATGTATGAGGGAAGCCAAGGTGGGAGCAGCCAGGCTGGAATGGATGACTTCTCCTAGCGAGGGGATAGTGGAAGGTTAAGGAGGAATATTTTTGTGGGGTAATCCTATATAGTATTGGACATGCTGGGTTATAGAGTGGTGGGGTGGGGGCCCAAGAGGAGATATGGAGGAAAAGGTGACACAGCTCATAGGTGGGTCATTATGAGGAAGAATGGAGGGACCTGGGTTGCTGCTGAGTGCAACATTAGGAAGCAGTCCGCAAAACCACCCTCACTTCTGATAGAAAGTGCAAGTTTGGGTGTATAACTGACCACCCTCCATTTCAATAATTTGCTAAAAAGGACTCATAGAACTCACTGAAAGCATAATTATTATACTCATTATTAAGGTTTATTACAATGCACTAGGACAGATTAAACCAAGGGAAGAGATGCATCAGGCAGAGTCCAAAAGAGTTCTAAACTTAGAGCTTCTTATTGTTCTCTCTCGCTGGAGTGTGGACAGCATTAACTCTTTCAGTAAGAATGTGAAACAATATGCACAAAGTATTGCCAATCAGGATAACTCACCTAAGCCTTGATTTGCAGAGTTTTTATTGGGGCTCAGTTACATAGATCTGATTGGTCGTCCACATTGCTGACCTCCATATCCAGCCCCTCTGGAGGTCTCCTTGATGACACATGACCTAAAGTCCCCACCCTGCATCACATTGATAGGCTATTGGTATGGCCCAAAGTTCTCAGACACTCTTATCAGAGATAACATTTCAAGGGTTTAGAGATCACCTCTCAGAGGGACTAAGGGTAAAAACCTGACTTCTCTTTGGGTAAGGTTAATTCTTTACTACACACTGAGGTGACACAGTTTGCCTTTTAAAAAATTCTTCCTCCCATTTCTGTCTTTTCTTTCTGTGCCAAAATCTTATAAGCTGCAAAACTATCTATGTCCCCAACACCTTCTTCTTAGCCACTGTCAATTCAGGCTAACATAGTGACTGGGCTCTAAAAAATGAGAACAGGGTAAGTGTCATGTCTTCATCCTCAGCATCATGTCTTCATCCTCAGCTTAACAAACGCCACAGAAGTCTCTGGGCAAATCTCATGGTGCCAGGTCCCTGGAGAATGTTATTTGCAAGGATAGCTTCTCACTTGGAAAATTACAACAAATACAAGTCATCTCAGAGGACAAGGACTAAAAGTCTGATTTCCATGGTGACATAGGGACTGCACTTCTCCACTAGAGGCAGAGCATGTTGAAGACTTATTCTGGGCCACATAGTTTCAAACAATGCAGTTTCTAACAAAGATTAAATTACCCTAAAGAAAGTGACTATGTGATTTAGGTAAAACTGCCTCAAAGCCTTAGAACAGTTCCCTTTAAAGCTCTCTCAGGTGGCTTTTTGTTTTACTTGAGATTCCTTTCCTTGCCAACCTGTTTCCTTCAGTGCAAACGTAGCCAAAGAAGCCTCCTCAGATAATGAGAAGAGGTTTTATTCCTGGAGATTTTTTCCATCTTGAGTCATGGCTCACATTAATCATCTTTAGAGATTTTTATAAGAGTTGCCTATCTTAAAATTTTAAAAAATTCTTTGGAAAAAGCAGATGGGGCCCAACTTTGGGCTTATGCCTACAGAGTGAGTTCTGTGGTAAAGGGCTTTATTTGAAAATAAAATATTTTCCAGAAGCACTTCTCTAACTAAATCATATAGCACAATAATAAAAGGGCTTGAATTCACAAAAACAATCATTATTTGCTAAGGGAAACCTTTTCAAATGTGCCCACACCTACCCACATCTGCTTTTTGATCTTGAGGCCAAAAACTCTCTTGAATTAAGTGTTTTGCTTCTAGTGCACTTATCTCAGAACTGTGAAATGAAATAAATAGGAAAAGTAAACAGCATTATTTTAAAATAATGCAATTTGTATCTAATGTGGTCATGTGTGGTACTCTTATGTTGAACTATAATTTGAAATACTTCATATCCTATATTTTAAAAACTAACCTAGTGTTTTCTCCTACATCTTCAAAAGTGACTATATTTTCATATTGTCATTAACATTGATTATGCTACCATACTAGTGTTCTGCTTTATATATTTTAATTAAATGTTTTTTGTATTTTGTACTGTATCCTGAGGCAATTTTAACATGAAGGGGACAATTTTATAAATGGGAAAAAAAACATATCAAATGAATAGTGTGTTCCCTGCTGCATAGAATATTTAAAAGCCAGAATTCCCTGCTTCAAAATGTTTCCAGGCAAAGTAAAATTATAAGGAAAATTAGATGCTCTTAAATGTCAAGAGTAAGTTATTTTCTCTTATTTGGCTTGATTTTTGGTTTGTTTGATGCAGTCATGAAACCATTTCCCCTTAAAGATGAGTCTGGTTTTTCTGAAGAGAAGGTATGAAGGTTTGTTACATGGTCACTTATAAGTATTAAATAATTGAAGATAATGCAGTGTCTAAAAATAGGGGGCTGTTTACATGATTATGGAACATAGTGCATAATCTCTAAAAGTTAGGTCATAAAATGACATAGAAAAATGTTTCCTGTATGTTAAGTGAAAAAAATCAATTATAATCTATATACACAGAATAGTCCTTATTTAAGAAAAAATATGTAGAATATGAATAAATAATATATGTAAATATGCATAGAAAACACTGAAAGGCTATTTAGACCAGATTAGTAGTGGTTCTCTCTGCATGAACTAGACATGTTTTGAAAGATCATAAATCATTAAATCGTAGAGCTGAAGTGCCTTTGAGATCATTTAATTCAGTCACGCGTTAATTCACTAGATAATTAATTCCTTGGCTATTTAAAGACTGTTCCCCTTCTTTCTCAATTCTCTTTTCTTCAGTATAACATCCCTAGTTTTTCCAACTTTTCTTTGTGATTTCCTGACTCCTCCCTGTCTTGGGTTGTTGGCATCCCTCTTAAGATGGGTCATCTAGAGTACACCCATGTTCCCAGTGTGATCAGGCCAGCCAGCATCCAATGGACTTGTTTGCTCCTTCAATATCTATCCAGTAAAGGCCATGGTTTGTACCAACATGAAATGAACAGAACTTTTTCAGAGAATTTTTACATGAGCAACTATTAAAGGCATCTTCCCCAATTTGAATTCATTCTATTAATTCTTTGAATCCAAAGCAGGATTTCTTACGGCTTTAACAATCTGATTCAGCTTCCAGCCTTTCTATTAACACTTATTAAGCCATATCTCATTTGTTTTACTCTATATCCCAGTCTATCAAGCTCATTTTGAACCTTGAATCTGTCCAGCAATATATTAGCTATATTCAGTTTTTTTCCCCAGTTTTTCCTTCCCATATTGATAAGCAAGATTTCTCTATCTTTACTCATCTCTGAAAACCATCTTTGAGAGTAAGGACTAGAAATCGTCTTACCGTCTCCAATGTCCCATATCTGCTTTTTCACAGAGGACTTTATGGTATGGCACTTCATTGGTCACCCCCTCCCCCTCATTTATCCCAACTCAGATAAGCAGGACAAGCATCCTACCTACAGGCATAGTCAGTGGCTGAGGAGGATTCAAATGCATTTTCTACATCAGAGTTTTAGTGCATTTCCCACCATCAGGCTCGGTAAAAAGAATACAAAGGCAAAGAGTGGAGGCAAAAACTAAAGAGGGGGTTTTCCTGGAAGGAAGAAAATGTAGTAAAAGAATGAAGTAGCTAGTATCAATTAGCGTTTCCTGACAATCACTGACAAGCTGAGAGTCTATAAATAGAGTAAGGGGTTGGATCTCTTCTGTTTATCTCTATAAATGCCACCCATGTCTGGCTCGTTTATTTTAAATGTGGCTTCCAGAAAAATCATGGATAGGGGAGCCAAGCTCCTGGGAGAATTGGTCAGCTGTCAATTTCAGAGACTCTAGTCATTATTATTATAACATATTGTCCTTCCTGGACTTTAGATTCCATACGTACAAGATGAAGAAATTTAACTTGATGATGCTCAAGTCTTCCTCCGTTCAATATTTTTGAAACGAAGATAGATTGATGCACCCCCAAGGGGCAATTTATAATTTTTCCTTGCGATACTGTTCAAGATAATCTGTGAAATACAGATTTGGTATTTGCAGAGCCTCTCTCTTCCTTGGTAATTTTTTTTCATTTATCTCAGACTGACTCCCTGCTTTTTTTCTACATACAGTCCTCAAGCACTGCTATACCCCCACTCCACATGCTCTCTGCCTCTGCATGTTTCCTGCTTTCCTGGGAAAATTGCTATAACCCAACCATAGGGCAAGGGGATCTGGAAGCCTCTCTACCTAGACTCACATGCTACTCAACTGTGAATTCTACTTACTGCCAAGTGACACATCCAATCACTTAATTTCTTATAGCCTCAGTTTATTCATATAAAATGATGATGGGGGATGGTGCTAGCTTTGGCAGCACACATAATAAATTGGAACAATACAGAGAAGATTAGCATGGCCCCTGTGCAAGGATGACACTCAGATTTGTGAAGCATTCCATATTTTTATAACCATTATAAATAAACCTGTTAAATTTTTCTGGACAATGGCAGCATTTGGATTTTTTTTAAAACAAGTAAATTTATTGATGGCAACAAAATAAAATAAAAATAAAATGATGATGATGGTTCTCATAAAACTGTTGTGAGGATATGCTGAATCAAGAGTATAGAGTCATGGGGCACCTGGGGGGCTCAGTCGTTAAGTGTCTGCCTTCAGCTTAGGTCATGATTCCAGGGTCCTGGGATCGAGCCCCGCATCGGGCTCCCTGCTCCGCGGGAAGCCTGCTTCTCCCTCTCCCACTTCCCCTGCTTGTGTTCCCTCTCTCTCTGTGTCTCTCTCTGTCAAATAAATAAATAAAATCTTTAAAAAAAATAAAAAAAGTATAGAGTCTTAAATGTATTGTCTAGCTCATAGAAAACACACAAATAGATGTTCACCAAAAAAAACACTTCAGATTTCTCTATCATTTCTCTGTATCTTTACCCTCTGGTCTCAGAGGAAGAGGTGTCCGTATTCTTTTTCTTAGACTATCATAGCTCCTTTTGTATCTCTACTGGCCTCAAACAATAAAGAGGAATTATACATTCTTGTAGCAAAGTCCAGAGGGAGGACGACTTCAGAAGCTTGGCAGTGCCATGAGGAACTGAATTCTGTGCTCTCTTCTCTGCTCTTGCTGATATCAACTTCACTTTAAGGTTAGGGCTCCTTGGGATCACAAGATGACTGTAGCAGTTCCAGGGTCACATGCTTCATTTTGTACATTCAAGCAGAGAATAAGAATTGGTTCTAAAACTTCATTCAGAAGAGCAGAGAAGCTTCATTTTCAAAAGTCTGGGGGAAAAAATCCCTCTCATATCTTACTGGTCTAAATTGGATGAAATGGCTTCCCTAAACCCATAACTAATGTCAGGTGATAAGTTCATTTTAAGTTTGAACCCCATACTCTGTTTCTAGAAATAGAGTGGAGTTGAATTTTTCTCCAATACACATAGAATTTGGAGTACCCAGGCAGCATTGTCCAATTGCATGATTCATATGGATTTCTATTCTGGAACTGTGTTCTGTGCCTTTCACATAAAATACAATGGGAATAGAGTTTCTTAGAGTTAATCATCTTGTGGGCTTACACTTGGAAAGAGATAGTTGAAATTAAGGGTGGTTACTGCAAGAAAGGGTACTAGATACTGGTTAGATCATCACAAAGTCTACTTCACCATATGCCTTTGAGGCCATCTCTTCCTCCTTCCTTTGGAACGTCCATTACTTTATCCTTTTTTTTGAATTAGCAACAGCTCCCTTTTTATTGGGTCACTTACTTATGCTCATTTTTCTTTATCCAAAATAATAAAAAATTAAATTAAAATTAAAATTTAAAAATCAGAGCTTCCCCAAACCTACTTCTCTGACAAGCTACCTTAGCTTCCCTACCACAGTTATTGAAAACACAGTCCATCTTCATTGCCTCAACTTGGTCATCTTGCTTCTGCCTTAACCACACTACCGAATCTACTCTCTGAGTCATTTCCCTGTAAATGAATCCAAATGTCATTGATGGGCTCCAGCTTCTCTGATCACCACATCCTTCCTCCTTGAACTTTTCTCCTCCTTTTCATCAATTTATTTGATCAAAATTTATCATGCACCTGCCATGTGCCACACACTGGGATAAATGTTGAGAATACAAACATTAAAGGAATTTAGTCCTTCCCCCCAAGGAGGCTAATAAAGGCTAGTGGGAAGACAGTGAAACAACGGCTGAAAGCCATAGTGGAGGCATGTGAGAGGAGTAGAGAAATAAGCATCTAAATCTATGAGTTAGTGGAGCTTCAGAAAGAGATAATTCTTGGACTGTTTTTAGGAAAAAGTAAGGAGTTTGTCAATTGGAAAATGTCTAAGGCACAGGCAACAGCATGGTGCAATCAGGGAACTACAGGTGGCTTGGTATGGTTGGGGGATGGTAGAGGATGTAGGGGAGGGGCAAGAGATGAAGTTGTTCAAGAAGGCAGAAGCCAGGTCAAGGGTTTTGACAATGTGATATGGATCATGGGTAGCCACAGAAAAATTGAGTCATTGTTAAATCGTTTCTGTGAAATGATGGAGGGTGGAATAGGCAGACAGGTGCCCAGAAGCTGGTGGACTGGTAAGAAGGGTACTAAAGAGTATTTTATAGTTTTCTCAGTACAGATCCTTTGCCTCTTTGGTTAAATTTATTCCTAGGTATCTTATGGTTTTGGGTGCAATTGTAAATGGGATCGACTCCTTGATTTGTCTCTCTTCTGTCTTGTTGTTGGTGTATAGGAATGCCACTGATTTCTGTGCATTGATTTTATATCCTGCTACTTTACTGAATTCCTGTATGAGTTCTAGCAGTTTTGGGGTGGAGCCTTTGGGTTTTCCACATACAGTATCATATCATCTGCAAAGAGTGAGAGTTTGACTTCCTCTTTGCCGATTTGGATGCCTTTGATTTCTTTTTGTTGTCTGATTGCTGTGGCTAGGACTTCTAATACTATGTTGAATAGCAGTGGTGAGAGTGGACATCCCTGCCGCGTTCCTGACCTTAGGGAAAAAGCTCTCAGCTTTTCCCCATTGAGAATGATATTGGCTGTAGGTTTTTCATAGATGGCTTTTATGATATTGAGGTATGTACCCTCTATCCCTATACTCTGAAGAGTTTTGATCAAGAAAGGATGCTGTACTTTGTCAAATGCTTTTTCTGCATCTAATGAGAGGATAAAGATGTTGATGTTTCTGAACTACAATTATGATGGTTGGTGAAAAGAAGGTAGAATAAATTCAAAAGATAAAAATCTACAGCATTTAGCATGGAGTAGGAAGGCTGGAACCGTAAAGAATGGCAAAGATAAATGGGAAGAAAAATTCAATTATGTCAAATATAGCAGAGAGGTTAGTCAAGAAAAGGACATTCTGTATATCTCTGATTTTTTATTTTCATGACCAGTTCTCACTGACATTTGGGCTCTTAGCTCTGCCCCTCAGCAGAGGTGCTTCCCAGTGATATAGCCAGAGCAGACCTCCCCACATTTTCCCCTTCACAACACCATGTAATCTCATGGGCTTCAGTAAATTGCAGATGTGTCATAAGCCCCACATCTACACATCTGAGTCTGACTTTCTTCTCAAATACGAATACCAATTTTCAGTTGCTTCCTCAGCATCTCTACTTGGATGTCCATGTATATACCTCTAACTAAATTGAAATCATCATATTCTCTCCAAACTTATTACTTCTCTTTTTCCTAATCTGTTGATGCTGCTGCTATCCTTCTAGTAGGACAATTTGCTGTCACCTTTGTATCCTTATTAGTCTATTCACCAAGCAAATATTGAGCACCTAAAATATATCTTGGACTCTTCCATGCAGATATAGTGGATGACCTAAACAATGTTTTGCCCATATAGGCTTTATTTTAATGAAGGATTACATATTGTATTATATCAGAAAAGTGTAATAATTTAAAGTAAAATAGGATAGAGAACATAAGAGTGACAGAGTATGTTCTACATTCAATCAGTTGGTAAGGCCTTTTACTTCACCTTTAATATCTCTGGCATTAATCCTTACCCCTCTGATTCCACACTGTCCAAATTCTGCCTTCCACACCCCCTCATTAAGCAAATGGCAATAATGTCTCAGTTTAACCCAACTGAAAGAATATGTAGAGAGCTGTTACATGTTGGACACTAGACTTGATAACAGATCCCAAAACAAAAATTATGTAGTTTAGAAGAAGTGATGAATTAAACACGTAAGCCACTTAAATACAAAATATAAAACAAAACTGATAAATTCCACAAGGATATTATACCTAACTAGCCATGGAAATTCACAGGATGGTAGATCCCTTCTGAAGAGGACTCAGTTGAGTTAGCGGTATTCAAAATGCCACTTAAAGGAGGGGCTGGGCATTTATTAGGTTTGGAGAGGACAGTTGGGGAGGAAGATGCATTCCAAGTGGAAGACTCCGGATGAGTAAAGGGGTGAAGATGCGGAAGCACAGATGTCCAGATAATAGTCGGTGGTGCCATTTGCTGGGAGCTTAGGTTACTGGTAGAGTAGGCTGAGGTTAGGAAGATAAACTGGGACCATTCTGTGAAGAGTCTTAAAGGCTGGTCTGATCATTTATACTTAATTCATTAAATGATGAAAATCCATCATCTTTTTTCTCTTATCTTTGTACATACATGGCTTCTTCATTTGTTAGTTTATAAAATACCTGTGGGACTACTATCAGCTACTTTCCTAGAATATTGGTAATTTAGTAAGAAGTTATTATATAAGGCACGTGTTGAAATAGTATTTTATGATATGAAAGCTAAGCAAATCCTGGTAGATGGTGGTATGAAAGTATTTATATCTGAAAAATTATGTTCCTGAGCTTTGAAATATTTCAGGTTTCCCATTATTTTGAAATTAGATAAAAACTGCAGTGAGCCAATTTATAAATTGCTACTTCTGTTAACTTTAGAGAATGAAAAAAGAAAGTTCTCTCCTAGGGACTTAATCAAAATTCTTTGAATTGGCAGAGTCTATGAAACATAAGAAATATGAAGAAGAAATTTTAGTAGAATATCTCCAGACCTTAATGGATGTCTGAATGAAAGTACACGGTTTCTTCCAAAAATATGTAAATAATTATCTATTTCTAGAATGGGACATTAATTTCCAAAGAGGTGCTAATTTGTCTTTCTAAACAAAAGACTGAATTGTTTAATTTACAAATGGAAATTCCCACTTAAAGAATTTTCAAAAGCAAATAAACCAGTTGAAGTCTCCAAATATGGAACTACATGTGTCGTACTGATGACTTGTCCTAACGACCAGCATTCTGGTTTAGCTTCTGAATTATTCTATAATATATTTTAAAAATAGATTCAGTAATGAGTATGGTCCTAATATTCTAGATGAGTAGATTTGAAACCCAATATGATTTCAAAATTGGCCAACTTTACCAAGGAAACATGAGGAAAGGTTTCCATGGT